AAGGATGAGAAGCAAAGTCATCTAAGATAAGAAGACATCTGTGAGGGTAAGTCTTCCAATCGTAAGATTGCAATTTCTTCGAAATGTATTCTATCTCTTTCTGTTTGTTTCTGAAGTGTTTCTTCTCTAATATTCTCTGCATTTCCTCATTTGGGTCTTTAAACTTAGAATTTATATACTCATTTATAGCATTGTACTTCAAAACTCTTCTTTGGTACTTCTTTATCCAATCTAACAACTCAGAGTCTTTTATACATACTAACTTAGACTTTTTTATAATATCTTTGAACGAATTGACGGTTTGGTCAAATTGACCAGAAGTACTACAAATAACAACTAACTCATAGAATGGGTTCTTCTCATCTAGTTCTTGTTGTTGTGCAGCCATTTTAAGATAAGTGAAAGTCTTACCCGACCCAGGTGGTGCGATTAGACCTGTTATACCATTCTGAGCAAATAAGAACTTGTCATGTATGGGTTTTATCTGAGCATTTTCTAACTTCCTCTTGTTCTTGTTTAAAACATTCTCAAATTTCTTGTCAATGTCAGCAAACTTTTTTTCTAACATATTTTTAGAAAAATTAAAATTTTTATCTTTTTGAAAATGTCTAGCGATTTCGCTATCTATATTCGAGACAAGCTTTTCGACAGCAAAACATCTGTCGACCATAAAATCTTACATAGTGTAAACAAGAAAGGTGAATTTGTTCTAAAGTTCTGTTTCTGGGAATATGACAAGAACCATAAAACATTAGGCAGAGAAGTCTTTAAGTTTGTCAATGACAGACTTGTTGACAGAGATGACGCCGATTGGAAAGATGAAGTCCAACAAAAGTTCTTAGAATGCAAAGAAGACACATGCGCTGTTCTTGAAGATGAAATAGGAAACAGAATAGAAGAGCTATTAAAGGACAAAGAACTTTTACATAAATATGGTTGCGCCAAATTTGACATAACTCCACCAGAGAAGAAGAAGAAGAGAGAAAAGAAAGAAAAGAAAGTAGAAGAAGAGAAGAAAGAACCTGAACCAGAGAAAAAGAAATTTGACATGTAAAAATAAAATTTTATTTTTAGAACATTTCTGGGTCAATGTCAATGTTCTCTTCCTCTTTAGGAGTAAACACTGGCTTAGACTCTAAAATCTTTTTACCCAATTTACCTTGAACTTCAACTATCTTAGACTCATAATATTCATAGTCGTCTGCTTTCTTTGGTTCATAAGGTATAACAAGTTTGTATGCTTTGCCTTCTTTAAGGTTTGAAACCTTCTGTCAAAATTTTCTTTGACTGCTAACAAACCTTCTATGTCTAAGTCTTCAAATTTCGCACCATTTTTAGTCACAATAGCAAACTTAACTGGTTCGATGTTTCCAAACTTTGCTGAATGAAGACTTTTCAAAATGGTAGAAGTAAACATTCAAATAAGCGAATGGGTCTAGTTCTTCTTTGACTTCTGTCATGTACTTGTTTACTGAGATGAATTTTGCCATCTTTTCTATCGGATAAAAAAATGTTTTTTTTAAATTTACTCAGAAAAATTTTTCTTTGTATATACGCCGTTCTGAACGTCTAAAAGACTTTTGACATTTGCCAAGAATGTTCGTTTAGAAGCTGTCATATAACCATACTCTTGACAATACTGTTTATACGAATCGTACAATGACCTTTCATCTAAACACTCAAAGTTAGTCTCATCTATAAACAGTTCATATACACTCTTGTTTGCTTCTAACAATGTTTGTCTTTCTTCGGTATGTGGAATTTGTCTTGGATTGAACTTAGAAATATCTAATGTCATGAAATATGAGAAAAGTGGTTGTAAAAGTCAGATGTCAAAGTTTCTGCTAAGTCGTCAAAATATTCTCTGTATCTTGCATATGAGCTTCTGACGTTCTGACAACTACATATCTTCTGTCAGAACTTTCTAACTTCATCGGAACAACGGCGTTGTTTGAAACCATGACGAAGTTTGCAACATTTTCACAAACTCTTTGGTCTTTATATTTTCTTCAACAACTCCAACTTTGTCTGTTTATAAGACTCTTCAAAGCATCTGAGTTTAAAACCTTTGTTGTATCTATACTTTTGAAGTTCGTTACATACTATAAGTTTCATATTCTCTATTGAAGAGTTAAATTTACCGCAGATGTTTTCTAAGTTTGTCATATTCGGGTTCGAATAGCCCTCTAACAGTTTGCACCAAAATATCTGTAAAGAAAGTGTTCTTACCTGTTCCTTGTTTTCCAATTACAATGAGAGCAGTTTCATTTTTAGCACTTGGATGTTGTAAGATGTTTGCAAACCAACATAAGATATACTCATAGACTCTTTCGTTTCCATTGCATATAATTTCTTTGACATGGTCTAACCAAGCTTCTATAACATTTTCTTTCCATTCTACTTGTTCGTATTTTATCAGTGAAGATAGAATAGAAGTTTGGAGATGGTGTATAGAACTTTATACCACGAACTGAAAATCTTCAAGTTTTGACAATAAGATATCCCAAGCATCTAACATCTTCATACCAACTTGTACGACTTTTATTTTCTTAAGTTTCTGTCTACATTCTTGTTCTGAAACTATGGTTGCTCTTGGTTTGTTAAAGACAACATCCATTCTTTTCATGACATAACATTCTGGGGCAGAGTCAACATAAATGACTAAACGTTTCAAATTCTCGACTGCTTTGTTATAGTCTCGAAATGGACACATATTTCTGAATGCTTGGAAGTCATAAAAATCTGAAACATCTATTCTGTACATTTTTATAAAAATAAAAAAATATTTTTTTTTATTCTTGACTTTGTTGTTGCATTTGTTCCATTTGTTGTTCTTGAGCTATTTGTTGTTGAAGTTGTTCTTGTAGTACAATACTTTCACCAGTTGCATCTTCCAATTCGAAACTTTCTGCCGTCATTGACAAATACATAGGACATAAAAGTTTTACAGGAACAAGTTTGCGTCAACTAAGGTTAAGTTTATGTTTGCTAAAGTGTTTGAGTTCACTAAAGCTGAAAACTCTGCATTCGAATGAACAATAGGCAAACCAGCAGAAAGTGTTGTTTATACGCATGAGTATCTTTTGGTCATAGTTAGTTCTGTCAACATTCGAATAGCACTTTGAAACCTAAGTTTGAAACAATATATAAAATAGTGTACTTAAAGTCAATGGAACAGACATTCCTTGTATGACACCTTTTCCTGTTATAGGAAACTGTTGGTAGTAAAAACCAGATATAAGTTTGTATATAGCTCATATCGTTTATACTAAACTCAGTCGGACATCCAAACATAATGAAACCTGCTCTAGTTGCAGCACATGTTACATCCGTCCTTAAAGTATTAAATAAGTCAACAAAACCTGTTGGTGGTATATCTGAGTAAGTATCTTCAAAGAAGTATTTTTTACCATTCACAACAACAAAGTCTTCTGGTGTCAAAAGAGCAAAACAGGCTTTAGTCGTCATTGTGTTTAAGGTTAGTTTACAATATCGTCCTGAGGACTTTGTAAGTTTGTTGTTATAGAATTATATGACTCAGGTTTTTAGTCGTAATAGTATAAACCACTATGTCTTCTGCCATTTACATATATTTAAAAGTTTTTCTGAAAGTGGAGAAGAACTTCATCTAAACTTTCACATGGCGTTTCTTGAAGTTCTCTGTCTAAGAAGTTCAAATATTTTGTAAAGACATAGAACTTTCCTTTGTCTACACGAACAAACAAAACAGGGTCTTTCATATCGTTCAAAAGTGTGTAAAGTCCTTTACATGAAATAAAGTCTATATTGTTTTTCTTCAAACATCTTTCAAAAGTTTTGACATTTTTACTTAGCAAACAAACTTTAATGAAATGTTGTGGTCGTCAAATTTTTTATGACGTCTGGGAAACTATATTTTAAGTTCAACGTTTCACCTCCTTTCATAACGTATATCTTGTCAATGACATTGTATGAAACACCACAGCAAGCAATGTCGGGTTCTATTTCTTTGATGTTTATATCGTCTGCCTCTGTCAAAAGTTTCAATAGTTCTTTCAAAACTTCATGAGGTGCAATGACATATGAGTTCACTTTTACAGGGTTGTGTTCGACCAAGTTTAACATTATACCTAAAGCTTGACAAATTCTCCTGAGTTTTAAGTTTGTCTTTAAGTTGTTGGTAGTCGTTTCGAATATCTGCAACAGAACTTAAGTCTCTGCTAACTTCAGGGTATGTTGGTTGTTCTTTTACAGGAACTATTGTTATACCATCTTCGTCTTCGTATGGTTTCCCCACTTCAACATCTCTTTCTTTGACATTGACAACAAACACTTTGACTGTTTGTTTGAGTTGGTGAATTTACTTCACATCTGCCATCGCCATTAAACCTTTTGAAACACTTACGCTTCTATTTTTCGGAAATGACATTTTACTTAGAATAAAAAGATGGACGTATTTGAGTATCTCTTCGAATTGAAGCAAAACAAAGTTTACACACACAAACAATACAAGTTCATTGACAGAGTAGTTCTTTACACAAAACAATGGAAAATGTTATAGAATAGCAGTCTTTGCTGAACCAAAATATTTTCATAAAGCAAAGAAAGTTGGTATAACTGAAATGGTGAAAGTTCTTGAAGCAGACAAAAATATAACAACAAAACTTACAGATATTTCTAAAGGTAAGTTTATAATACAATTTTATGTCAAAACTGGCGTACTGTCAATATTTGACGGAGAGAAGTCAGTTCAAGAACAACTTACTGACCTGCTGCCAAAATCTGCTCGATGGAAGCTGTCGTTATACCAATCTGAGGAGCCCCAGCAGGTTTCATCGAACGAATCTTCAAAAGAGCATCTTCCGTGAAAAGTGCTATTGGTTTTGTAAACTTCTTTGCTTTCAATTCATCTGGACCGTCTCTGTCACCAGTATATTGTATTTGAACTGTACCAACAGTTGAAATACCACCCATAAAGTCTTCTGAGTCAGCAAATGGAATGCCAAGCCAAAAGTTTGAACGGTCTCCATTTGTATATTGAGTTTTTTGAGCTCCTGTATGAGTCCATACTTTCACATATGGCATAATAGAACTTTGCATTTCAGGGTTAATGGTTGTTGTGAAGTTGTTGTTAAAGTTCATAGCATCTAATGTCAAGTTGTATGACCTCATATCCTCAACTGTAGAATATTCTTCTCTTGGATAATATTTGCCATCTATGTTTATATGATATTTAATACCAGGGTTGTAGAAGCAAGAATAGTCATTTATAGTTCGTCTGAACAGTACAAACATAGTATCTGCATGTTTCATTGCAGTTGTTAAAGCAATATCTGTTCTTGCACCTGGGTCAGCACTTTGGTTTCCAACTTCACCTGCAAAGTCTTTGACAGATATTTGGTGTATAGGGAACATAAGTGGAACTGCAATATATTTGGCAGCTAAAGCATTTGAAATATCTGGGTCCAACATATAGACTGCAAGTCTGCTTTCTATTCTCTTGCATTCAAATTTTTCGCATGTGAACTTAACTGGGTCCCAAGCATCTCCAGCAGCATTGAAATAATAGTTTACTTCAGTGTTGAGGTTTGAGAAACCAAAGTCTAAGTCAACTTTGTTTTTGCAAAAGTCGGCGAATGACATTTTATTTGTTCCCACTACTTCTGTAAGAGTGAATGGGTCTTGTGTTGGTGCAATGACTAAGTTATTTTTGCTTGGAGTAAGTTCGATAGAAATTTTTCCTGCCCAGTTTGGCAAGTATCTTAAAAACCTGAAGATGAGGAAAGATGACAAAGGAACTCTAAGTTTCAGTTTTACTTTGGTTACTGCTGCTGCAGTTTGTCCAGAAAGGTTAACATAAACTCCTGGAACGTTAGGGTCAAGTCTTCTTATTTTCTCAATAGTTGCATACTGGTCTGTTTGTTCTCTAGCTTGTGGTTGTACTGAGTTTCTCAAAGCGAACCATTCATAGTTTGCCCATGTTACTGTTTGAACTAAGTCAGAGTTAGAATATATCTTATATCCCATGAAAACTTCTGGAGCATATTGGTATCCGACATAGAAAATTCCATTGCAACCTTTCTTGTCAGACAACTTGGCAGAAGGTTTTATTTCAATGTCTTGTTCCACGTATAAGAAAGAGTTGTCAATAGAAATTATATGAAACCTGTCGCAAGCAATATCTACTGTTGTTGAAGAACCTTCCCCAAACTCACCTACGTTTCCATAAGAAACAGCAGTTGTATATTCGTAAGTTCCAGGAACTATTTCTGACCTTCTAATGGCATTGTCGCATTCGTTATACCATTCGGAAACATTTCCGTTCATGGCATCCAAAACTGTTGGCGTTATATTCTGAGCGGCGTACATTTCATATGAGTAAAAATATAGAATAGTTGGATTTATATGTCATAATAGAACCCACTCCGACCAAGCTTTACTTTCTTCCTGACTGAGTTTTTAACTCTTCTTTTTCCTTCATTGCCCTCTGCTTCAAGTTGTTGCATCTTTGCCTCATGTTCACCTAGTATGTTGTAAATTTCCCATGTCCTTTTTGCCTTTGGGCTCTGGTCGCCCATCTCAGGTAACCAATATCCTAGAAAGAGTTTGTCATAGTTTGTATTTGAGTCTTTGCGTATTGTTTGCATGACTCTGTCCTGAGTTTCCGGTTCAAGCTCTTCAAACAGTGCCTGTCCATATGGAATATGCTCGTTTCCAAATATATGTTTTTGTAGCCATTCTGGTTTTCTTTCCATGTTACCAACTATATCTTTTGTGAATGGGAAAGCTTTTACCCAATCTTTCAGTCTTTCGTCATTTATTTCTGTAGTTGGTTTTATTTTGTCAAGAACATGTTTTTCAATACTAACATTTCATTTGGTACTGTCCATTTGAGTTTTCAAATATTCATCCCTTCTCGGTTCATTGTCTGCAAAGTAAGTTTTTATGACATTTTGTAAACTTTCATTTGCAAGGTCATGTACAATAGGTTCTCTTCCTTCTGTCTCCCTAACTTTCTTTCTAAACTCTTCACCAAATATACCATCTTTATGGTTCTGTGTAGTTCTTTGAGATAAATGTTTTAGAACGTCAGGTGTTATATTTCCATCAGCCATGTTCATTTCATACTGGTTCAAAATATCTGCATCTTTCATATCTTTCAATGGCATTAAAGCCGCGCTTAAAATACCAGCTATATCTGGTTCACCATTGACTTCCATTGCGTCTACAACTTCTTGGAATTGTGGTTGTAAGTTTATGAACCACCTATCCTGGTTAGCTTTATGACCCCATCTCATTGTAGTTCCATCGTCTGCAGAAACAAAAGTAGGTTTGTTTCCATCTTGGTTAGGTTCTGAATGAACTTTAAACAATGTTTCATTTCTATATGTTTTCTTGAAATTTAACCTTTTATTTTCACCGAGTTCAGCCAAAGATTGAACGTTAAATGCTCGTAAGTAAAAAGGGTTGTTGTATTTGTGTACATTTTCTTTCAGTACTTCCATTCTATGCTGAATATTTTCATCTGGTGTTGGAGTCTTTTGTATGTCGGCAAACATTTTTCGATATTCTTCTACTATGTCAGCCGAATTTTTTTTAGACTCTTGGAAATATTCCATATTCTCCGCATACTCTTGTTGAGGGTCAAGATTTTTCGGCTGTTCCAAATCTTCATCTAGTTCTGTGAAGTTAGTTTCCAAAGGAAGGACTTGTTCGTTTCCTTCAGGCTCTTCTAGCTGTTGTTGCTGAACTATTTCTTCCATGTCTGGTTGTATCTGAACTTCTTCCTGTGGAGTTTCTTGTACCTCATCTGCTGGCATTTCATATATTCCGAGACCGTTTTCAACAATTTCCCTATCTACGTCATCCGCATTCATAAGCTTTTGTTCTTTCGTTCCGTCTCTATTTTTTACGCGTTTCATGACGAAAGTTGAATTGTCATTTAGCTCTGACATCAAATATCTCGGAGTAAATTCATCCATGTCATTTGGATGATATGCTATTAAATCATATCCCTTAGCGAGCTTGTATTTTCCAGGTTTGAGATTATATCCGTTTTGGTGCTGAGCCATAAAGCTAAATAGGTTCGGGTCAGTATTTCCATCCTTGAACTTTCCAATAGCTTCTTTATATCTGTCACTAAAGTCAACAGTATCTGGGAAACCACACTCTTCTTTAAGCATTTTTAAGAATTCTTGGTTTCCTTGTTCTCTACTTCTTTTATGTCCTTGCTCTGTTTGTGGTTGTTGTTGTGCAGGGTTTTGAACTGTTGGTTGCTGTGCTGGTTGTTGTGTTGGTTGTTGTGCTGGTTGTGGAGGTGGTTGTTGTGCTGGTTGTTGTGTTGGTTGTTGTGTTGGTTGTTGTGTTGGTTTTGGTGCATGCCTGTGTCTGTGTCCATGTGACGATGTAAATGTTCTAGGTAGTCCTGGTGCAGGTGCTTCTCTTGGAGGTTTGGTGTATATAAGTTCCACCAGCTGGCACATATGTTCCATCTGCAGCGTAATGTCCTACCTGACTTTTCGTTCTTAAGAAAGCATTTACTAGGTCTGTTTTGGTCTGTTGTAACTCTTTTTCTTGACTTTTCACAACAGTTGCTCTAACGGCGTCATAGGCACTTTGAACTGCCTGTCTCGTTGCTGCATCTGTTATTTTCGTCATATTTTGTGCTACTTCTTTTAACTCTTTGTCGAAACCTTCAGACTTCAGTTTCTTTCCAGATGAGAAGTCGTTCACTTGTTTCACCTTACTATGAAGAGCTTCGAAAGCGTTCTTAAAGTCAGCATTTGTTAAAGCTTCATTTGAACTGTCTTCATCCGCTTGTATTTTTGTCCTTATTGACCCTATAAGCTGGGCTGCTTTAGCGTTGGCTTGGGCATCTAACCAGTCATTGTTAGCTTTTATATATTCTGCGCTTTTCATTGCCTTTTGCATGGCTGCGTCGTTATTTTTACTTTCTTGTGCTAAGTTTTCATACTGTACGGTTTGGTTTTGCAACTGTAAAAGTTTTTCTGCCTTTACATTTGCTTCAACTTCTTTTTTATACTCATCGCTATCCATATATGTCTTCAGGGCTTTTTGTTTTATCTCTTCATCTTTCAGTATTTTATATTGAGTAGTATGGTTTTTCAAATTTATGACATCTTGTTCCATTTTTGCTACTTCTGCTGCTTTTTCTGACACTTTTTTCGCATATTCCTCTGTACTTAGTTCTTTCAGTTGTTCTTCTTTCTTCTTTTTCTCTACGTTTAACTCATTGAGTTTCTTTGTGTGTCTGTCATATTCTAGTTTCTTTTCGTTTTCACTTATTTGCTTCTGTATGTCTATGTTTGACTTTTTGACATCTGCTATTTGATTTTTGAGTGAACTCAAATTCATTTGACTTTGAGGGTTATATGCTGTTCCGTCTGCAGCTCCACCATAGCCTGCCATTTTCGCTAAAAGTGCCGCTCTTAAACCTCCACTCTGTGCACCAACAACTCGGTTTAAAAGCATAGGGTTGCTTGACATTTGTTGCAACATAGTGGGGTCATTCAGCATTTGTTGTTGCAACTGTTGTTGTGGTGTCAGTTTTACTATTGGATGTTTCAATGCTCTCTTCCTCTTACGTATATTCTTACGTAGCTTACGTGGCATTTTAAGTGAAGTTAAAAATGGTTTTTGACAGATGTTTATTGTGACTTCTTCGTAAAGACTTTGTTGAGATTTCTTCGTAAAGACTTTGTTGAGATTTCTTCGTAAAGACTTTGTTGAGATTTCTTCGTAAATGACCCAAAAATATATTTTAGGTGAAGAGGTGAGATTTCACCTCTTTTTTCACCTCATTTCTCACCTCTTGAATTTTCATGAATTTCTTCGTAAAGACTTTGTTAAGACTTCTTCATCTAATTTCTCATGAACTTTCTTGTCTATGTTTTGTTGAGATTTCTTCGTAAAGACTTTGTTGAGATTTCTTCGTAAAGACTTTGTTGAGATTTCTTCGTAAAGACTTTGTTGAGATTTCTTCGTAAATGACCCTAGTAGTATATTTTTGGTGTAAATTTCATGAAAATTCAAGAGGGTGAGAAAAGAGGTGAAAAAACAGGTGAGATTTCACCTCTTCACCTAAACATTATTTTTGGTGTAAAATTCTGAGTAAAATGACAGATGGAACACATACTTTTTCAGTAAGTACATATGGGTAGAAAAGAGGGTAGAAAACGGGGTAGATATACCCTTCTACCCTAAAATATATTTTTGTCTGATTTACGCTCATTACGATGAAATCTTGACAAAGTCTTTACGATGAAATCTTGACAAAGTCTTTACGATGAAATTCATGAAAATTCAAGAGGTGAAAAATGAGGTGAAAAAACAGGTGAAATCTCACCTCTTCACCTAAAATATATTTTTATTGAATTCTGTATAATATTCTGAGTAATATGACAGATGTTTATATAACACTTTCTCCGGTTTATAGGACCTCTCTCATATTCTATCTTGTCATATCAAAACTCATAGTCATGTTTGTCCTCTAAGACTTCATTTATACTAAACATCTTCGGGGCTAGAGGGCACGAAGTGCCTGGAAGCCCCACTACCTTTTTTTTTTTTTTTTTTTTTTTTTAATATAGATATTAAAGAGACTTTTTATATAATATTCATAAAGATTTTCCAAAAATATGATACCGCAAAATTAAAAAAGTGACGTCTTGAGTGGAGTCAAAGGTCGAAATTGCTAGCTAAATGTTTTTTTAGCGAAATTGCGTATTGTACGTTTTTTTCGCAAAACGAAACCCTTACTACCGTATATTATTTTTTCAGCTATCTTATTTTTTGAACTTTTATTCAAATCTTTGGTCGCAAGAAGAATTGCATGATAAATAAAAACATTTAATCAAAGTCAATTTTATTTTTCATATTCAAATGGACTGAGTGTTAACATTTAACATTTTTTGCTAATTGTCGTCAAAAATTAGGCGTAAAGCAAAAATTGATATTTCATATGGTTTTATGATAGATAAGCATTATATTCCCACTCATTATATTCGTAATTTTTGAGGTTTATCCTTCGCTTTTAAGATCATTGAATTTGATTTTTATATAAAATAGTTATATATTAGAAAATAATATGAGTTTATGTGATATTATTTTTCAGAAGATTTTGTGTTCTTCTTCAAAATTTTATTTTTTTATTAAAAAGAATCTTTACAAAATATACATTTACTTTAATTAATATTTAAAAACGTGCTCTATCAAAAGTTCCAAAAATTCAATATTTTAGCTTTTCTGAGGTGTCACTTTTGATGAATTTCTGTTTACAACAACAAGTCAACGAAATGAGGTGGTAAAAAATTTTTGCGGTGGCAAAAAGTCGGAAAAATGTAGACTTCATTTGTGAAGAAGTATGCTGACTACCTTGATACAGGCCAAATGCCCCAAAATTTTGAATATAACTTCTATGCATGCTTGTGAGCAATGTTTGTTTGAACATTCAAGAAAAACTTTCAGCCAATTTTGAGGAAAATGCATTAGTAATTTGAATATATTTTATGCTCAGATTATTTTTGCCATTTTGGAATTTTTTAAATTTTTGACTGAAATAAGGTTAATTTTTATCTCTATTTGTGATTTAGGTCGATTTATAAAATTTCCATCACTTAATTAAAAAAAAAAAAAAAGGTAGTGGGGCTTCCAGGCGCGTTGCGCCCTCTAGCCCCGAAGATGTTTAGTATAAAACCGCTTTTTAACTTCACTTAAAATGCCACGTAAGCTACGTAAGAATATACGTAAGAGGAAGAGAGCATTGAAACATCCAATAGTAAAACTGACACCACAACAACAGTTGCAACAACAAATGCTGAATGACCCCACTATGTTGCAACAAATGTCAAGCAATCCTATGCTTTTAAACCGAGTTGTTGGTGCACAGAGTGGAGGTTTAAGAGCGGCACTTTTAGCGAAAATGGCAGGCTATGGTGGAGCTGCAGACGGAACAGCATATAACCCTCAAAGTCAAATGAATTTGAGTTCACTCAAAAATCAAATAACAGATGTCAAAAAGTCAAACATAGACATACAGAAGCAAATAAGTGAAAACGAAAAGAAACTAGAATATGACAGACACACAAAGAAACTCAATGAGTTAAACGTAGAGAAAAAGAAGAAAGAAGAACAACTGAAAGAACTAAGTACAGAGGAATATGCGAAAAAAGTGTCAGAAAAAGCAGCAGAAGTAGCAAAAATGGAACAAGATGTCATAAATTTGAAAAACCATACTACTCAATATAAAATACTGAAAGATGAAGAGATAAAACAAAAAGCCCTGAAGACATATATGGATAGCGATGAGTATAAAAAAGAAGTTGAAGCAAATGTAAAGGCAGAAAAACTTTTACAGTTGCAAAACCAAACCGTACAGTATGAAAACTTAGCACAAGAAAGTAAAAATAACGACGCGGCTATGCAAAAGGCAATGAAAAGCGCAGAATATATAAAAGCTAACAATGACTGGTTAGATGCCCAAGCCAACGCTAAAGCAGCCCAACTCATAGGGTCAATAAGGACAAAAATACAAGCGGATGAAGACAGTTCAAATGAAGCTTTAACAAATGCTGACTTTAAGAACGCCTTCGAAGCTCTTCATAGTAAGGTGAAACAAGTGAACGACTTCTCATCTGGAAAGAAACTGAAGTCTGAAGGTTTCGACAAAGAGTTAAAGGAAGTAGCACAAAATATGACGAAAATAACAGATGCAGCAACGAGACAGGCAGTTCAAAGTGCCTATGACGCCGTTAGAGCAACTGTTGTGAAAAGTCAAGAAAAAGAGTTACAACAGACCAAAACAGACCTAGTAAATGCTTTCTTAAAAACGAAAAGTCAGGTAGGACATTACGCTGCAGATGGAACATATGTGCCAGCTGGTGGAATTTATATACCACCAAACCCTCCAAGAGAAGCACCTGCACCAGGACTACCTAAAACATTTACATCGTCACATGGACACAGACACAGGCATGCACCAAAACCAACACAACAACCAACACAACAACCAACACAACAACCAGCACAACAACCACCTCCACAACCAACACAACAACCAACAGTTCAAAATCCAGCACAGCAACCAACAGTTCAAAACCCTGCACAACAACAACAACCACAAACAGAGCAAGGACATAAAAGAAGTAGAGAACAAGGAAACCAAGAATTCTTAAAAAGGCTTAAGGAAGACTATGGTTACCCAGATAGTATTGACTTTAGTGACAGATATAAAGAAGCTATTAGAAAGTTCAATGAAGGAAATACTGACCCGAACCTATTTAGCTTTATGGCTCAACACCAAATCGGATATAATTTCAAACCTGGAAAATACAAGCTCGCAAAGGGATATGATTTAATAGCATATCATCCAAATGACATGAACGAATTTACTCCGAGATATTTGGTGTCAGAGCTAAATGACAATTCAACTATCTTCATGAAACGCGTAAAAAATAGAGACGGAACGAAAGAACAAAGGCTTATGAATGCGAATGACTTAAATAGGGAACTTGTTGAAAACGGTCTCGGAATATATGAAATGCCAGCAGATGAGGTACAAGAAACTCCACAGGAAGAAGTTCAGATACAACCAGACATGGAAGAAATAGTTCAGCAACAACAGCTAGAAGAGCCTGAAGGAAACGAACAAGTCACTCCTTTGGAAACTAACTTCACAGAACTAGATGAAGATTTGGAACAGCCGAAAAATCTTGACCCTCAACAAGAGTATGCGGAGAATATGGAATATTTCCAAGAGTCTAAAAAAAATTCGGCTGACATAGTAGAAGAATATCGAAAAATGTTTGCCGACATACAAAAGACTCCAACACCAGATGAAAATATTCAGCATAGAATGGAAGCACTGAAAGAAAATGTACACAAATACAACAACCCTTTTTACTTACGAGCATTTAACGTTCAATCTTTGGATGAACTCGGTGAAGATAAAAGGTTAAATTTCAAGAAAACATATAGAAATGAAACATTGTTTAAAGTTCATTCAGAACCTAGCCAAGATGGAAACAAACCTACTTTTGTTTCTGCAGACGATGGAACTACAATGAGATGGGGTCATAAAGCTAATCCGGATAGGTGGTTCATAAACTTACAACCACAATTCCAAGAAGTTGTAGACGCAATGGAAGTCAATGGTGAACCAGATATAGCTGGTATTTTAAGCGCGGCTTTAATGCCATTGAAAGATATGAAACATGCAGATATTTTGGACCAGTATGAAATGAACATGGCTGATGGAAATATAACACCTGACGTTCTAGAACATTTATCTCAAAGAACTACACAGAACCATAGAGATGGTATATTTGGTGAAGAGTTTAGAAAGAAAGTTAGGGAGAGCGAAGGAAGAGAACCTATTGTACATGACCTTGCAAACGAAAGTTTACAAAATGTCATAAAAACTTACTTTGCAGACAATGAACTGAGAAGGGATGAATATTTAAGAAAACTCAAATGGACAGTACCAAATGAAATGTTAGTATTGAAAAACATGTTCCTTGACAAAATAAAACCAACTACAGAAATAAACGACGCAAGACTGAAAGATTGGGTAAAAGCTTTCCCATTCACAAAAGATATAGTTGGTAACATGGAAAGAAAACCAGAATGGCTACAAAAACATATATTTGGAAACGAGCATATTCCATATGGACAGGCACTGTTTGAAGAGCTTGAACCGGAAACTCAGGAAAGAGTCATGCAAACAATACGCAAAGACTCAAATACAAACTATGACAAACTCTTTCTAGGATATAGGTTACCTGAGATGGGCGACCAGAGCCCAAAGGCAAAAAGGACATGGGAAATTTACAACATACTAGGTGAACATGAGGCAAAGATGCAACAACTTGAAGCAGAGGGCAAGTTACCAAAGCGACACCAAAGAAGAAGAGTAGAACAAAGTGAAAGTAGTGAAGAAGTAACTTCATCTAGTGAAAGTAGTGGCAATGAAGGAAAAAGAAGAGTTAAAAACTCAGTCAGGAAGAAAGTAAAGCTTGGTCCACGTGGGTTCTATTATGACATATAAATCCAACTATTCTATATTTTTACCCATATGAAATGTACGCCGCTCAGAATATAACGCCAACAGTTTTGGATGCCATGAATGGAAATGTTTCCGAATGGTATAACGAATGCGACAATGCCATTAGAAGGTCAGAAATAGTTCCTGGAACTTACGAATATACAACTGCTGTTTCTTATGGAAACGTAGGTGAGTTTGGAGAAGGTTCTTCAACAACAGTAGATATTGCTTGCGACAGGTTTCATATAATTTCTATTGACAACTCTTTCTTATACGTGGAACAAGACATTGAAATAAAACCTTCTGCCAAGTTGTCTGACAAGAAAGGTTGCAATGGAATTTTCTATGTCGGATACCAATATGCTCCAGAAGTTTTCATGGGATATAAGATATATTCTAACTCTGACTTAGTTCAAACAGTAACATGGGCAAACTATGAATGGTTCGCTTTGAGAAACTCAGTACAACCACAAGCTAGAGAACAAACAGACCAGTATGCAACTATTGAGAAAATAAGAAGACTTGACCCTAACGTTCCAGGAGTTTATGTTGACCTTTCTGGACAAACTGCAGCAGCAGTAACCAAAGTAAAATTGAAACTTAGAGTTCCTTTGTCATCTTTCCTCATCTTCAGGTTTTTAAGATACTTGCCAAACTGGGCAGGAAAAATTTCTATCGAACTTACTCCAAGCAAAAATAACTTAGTCATTGCACCAACACAAGACCCATTCACTCTTACTGTAGCTGGAACTGGTGGAGCCAAGTTCTGTGACTTTTGCAAAGACAAAGTTGACTTAGACTTTGGTTTCTCAAACCTCAACACTGAAGTAAACTACTACTTCAATGCTGCTGGAACTGCTTGGGACCCAGTTAAGTTCACATGCGAAAAGTTTGAATGCAAGAGAATAGAAAGCAGACTTGCAGTCTATATGTTGGACCCAGATATTTCAAATGCTTTAGCTGCCAAATATATTGTAGTTCCACTTATGTTCCCTATACACCAAATATCTGTCAAAGACTTTGCAGGTGAAGTTGGAAACCAAAGTGCTGACCCAGGTGCAAGAACAGATATTGCCTTAACAACTGCAATGAAACATGCAGATACTATGTTTGTACTGTTCAGACGAACTATAAATGACTATTCTTGTTTCTACAACCCCGGTATTAAATATCATATAAACATAGATGGCAAATACTATCCAAGAGAAGAATATTCCACAGTTGAGGATATGAGGTCATACAACTTGACATTAGATGCTATGAACTTTAACAACAACTTCACAACAACCATTAACCCTGAAATGCAAAGTTCTATTATGCCATATGTGAAAGTATGGACCCATACAGGAGCTCAAAACACTCAATATACAAATGGAGACCGTTCAAACTTTTGGCTTGGCATTCCATTTGCTGACTCAGAAGACTTTATGGGTGGTATTTCAACTGTTGGTACAGTTCAAATACAATATACTGGTGACAGAGACGGTCCAGATGAATTGAAAGCAAAGAAGTTTACAAAACCAATAGCACTTTTCACGGAAGATGCTCTTTTGAAGATTCGTTCGATGAAACCTGCTGGGGCTCCTCAGATTGGTATAACGACAGCTTCCATCGAGCAGATTTTGGCAGCAGGTCAGTAAGTTGTTCTTGAACTGACTTCTCTCCGTCAAATATTGACAGTACGCCAGTTTTGATATAATATTGTATTAAAAACTTTCCTTTAGAAATATCGGTCAGTTTTGTTGTTATATTTTTGTCAACGTCAAGAACTTTCACCATCTCGTTATACCAACTTTCTTTGCTTTATGAAAATATTTTGGTTCAGCAAAGACTGCTATTCTATAACATTTTCCATTGTTTGTGTAAAGAACTACTCTGTCAATGAACTTGTATTGTTTGTGTGTGTAAACTTTGTTCTGCTTCAATTCGAAGAGATACTCAAATACGTCCATCTTTTTATTCTAAGTAAAATGTCATTTCCGAAAAATAGAAGCGTAAGTTTTCAAAAGGTTTAATGGCGATGGCAGATGTGAAGTTAAATTCACCAACTCAAACAAACAGTCAAAGTGTTGTTGTCAATGTCAAAGACAGAGATGTTGAAGTGGGGAAACCATACGAAGACGAAGATGGTATAACAATAGTTCCTGTAAAAGAACAACCAACATATCCTGAAGTTAGCAGAGACTTAAGTTCTGTTGCAGATATTCGAAACGACTACCAACAACTTAAAGACAAACTTAAAACTCAGGAGAAGATTTGTCAAGCTTTAGGTCTAATGTTAAACTTGGTCGAACACAACCCTGTAAAAGTGAACTCATATGTCATCGCACCTCATGAAGTTTTGAAAGAACTATTGAAACTTTTGACAGAGGCAGACGATATAAACATCAAAGAAATAGAACCCGACATTGCTTGCTGTGGTGTTTCATACAATGTCATTGACAAGATATACGTTATGAAAGGAGGTGAAACGTTGAACTTAAAATATAGTTTCCCAGACGTCATAAAAATATTTGACGACCACAACATTTCATTAAAATTTAGTTGCTAAGTAAATGTCAAAACTTCTTGAAAGATGTTTGAAGAAAAACAATATAGACTTTATTTCATGTAAAGGACTTTACACACTTTTGAACGATATGAAAGACCCTGTTTTGTTTGTTCGTGTAGACAAAGGAAAGTTCTATGTCTTTACAAAATATTTGAACTTCTTAGACAGAGAACTTCAAGAAACGCCATGTGAAAGTTTAGATGAAGTTCTTCTCCACTTTCAGAAAAACTTTTAAATATATGTAAATGGCAGAAGACATAGTGGTTTATACTATTACGACTAAAAACCCTGAGTCATATAATTCTATAACAACAAACTTACAAAGTCCTCAAGGACGATATTGTAAACTGACCTTAAACACGATGACGACTAAAGCCTGTTTTGCTCTTTTGACACCAGAAGACTTTGTTGTTGTGAATGGTAAAAAATACTCCTTTGAAGATACTTACTCAGATATACCACCAACAGGTTTTGTTGACTTATTTAATACTTTAAGGACGGATGTAACATGTGCTGCAACTAGAGCAGGTTTCATTATGTTTGGATGTCCGACTGAGTTTAGTATAAACGATATGAGCTATAATACAAAACTTATATCTGGTTTTTACTACCAACAGTTTCCTATAACAGGAAAAGGTGTCATACAAGGAATGTCTGTTCCATTGACTTTAAGTACACCTATTTTATATATTGTTTCAAACTTAGGTTCAAAGTGCTATTCGAATGTCGACAGAAACTACTATGACCAAAAGATACTCATGCGTATAAACAACACTTTCTCTGCTGGTTTGCCTATTGTTCATTCGAATGCAGAGTTTTCAGCTTTAGTGAACTCAAACACTTTAGCAAACATAAACTTAACCTTAGTTGACGCAAACTTTGTTCCTGTAAAACTTTTATGTCCTATGTATTTGTCAATGACGGCAGAAAGTTTCGAATTGGAAGATGCAACTGGTGAAAGTATTGTACTACAAGAACAACTTCAACAACAAATAGCTCAAGAACAACAAATGCAACAAATGGAACAAATGCAACAACAAAGTCAAGAACAACAAATAGCTCAAGAATAAAAAATATTTTTTTTTATTTTTATAAAAAAATGTACAGAATAGACGTTTCAGATTTTTATGACTTCCAAGCGTTCAGAAATATGTGTCCATTTAGAGACTATAACAAAGCAGTCGAGAATTTGAAACGTTTAGTCATTTATGTCGACTCTGCCCAGAATGTTATGTCATGAAAGAATGGGATGTAGTCTTTAACAAACCAAGAGCGACAATAGTTTCAGAACAAGAATGTAAACAGAAACTTAAGAAAATAAAAGTCGTACAAGTTGGTATGAAGATGTTAGATGCTTGGGATATCTTATTGTCAAAGTTAGAAGATTTTTCAGTTCGTGGTATAAAGTTCTATACACCATCTCCAAACTTCTATTCTATCTTCACTGGATATAAATACGAACAAGTAGAATGGAAAGAAAATGTTATAGAAGCTTGGTTAGACCATGTCAAAGAAATTATATGCAATGGAAACGAAAGAGTCTATGAGTATATCTTATGTTGGTTTGCAAACATCTTACAACATCCAAGTGCTAAAAATGAAACTGCTCTCATTGTAATTGGAAAACAAGGAACAGGTAAGAACACTTTCTTTACAGATATTTTGTGCAAACTGTTAGAGGCTATTCGAACCCGAATATGACAAACTTAGAAAACATCTGCGGTAAATTTAACTCTTCAATAGAGAATATGAAACTTATAGTATGTAACGAACTTCAAAGTATAGATACAACAAAGGTTTTGAACTCAGATGCTTTGAAGAGTCTTATAACAGACAAAGTTGGAGTTGTTGAAAGAAAGTATAGAGACCAAAGAGTTTGTGAAAATGTTGCAAATTTCATCATGGTTTCAAACAACGCCGTTCCGATGAAGTTAGAAAGTTCTGACAGAAGATATGTAGTTGTCAGAACGTCAGAAGCTCATATGCAAGATACAGAATATTTTGACGACTTAGCAGAAACTTTGACATCTGACTTTTACAACCACTTGTTCTCATATTTCATGACATTAGATATTTCTAAGTTCAATCCAAGACAAATTCCACATACCGAAGAGAGACAAACATTGTTAGAAGCAAACAAGAGTGTATATGAACTGTTCATAGATGAAACTGACTTTGAGTGTTTAGATGAAAGGTCATTGTACGATTCGTATAAACAGTATTGTCAAGAGTATGGTTATATGACAGCGTCTAAACGAACATTCTTGGCAAATGTCAAAAGTCTTTTAGATGTTCAGAATGGTGTATATACAAAGAAAAATTTTTCTGAGTAAATTTTAAAAAAAAATATTTTTTTTATCCGATAGAAAAGATGACGAAATTCATCTCAGTCAACAAGTACATGTCAGGACTTAAAGAAGAACTAGACCCATTCACATATTTGAATGTTTACTTCTACCATTTTGAAAAGTCTACATTTGACAAAGTTTGGAACATCGAACCAGTTAAGTTTGCTATTGTGACTAAAAATGGTGCGAAATTTGAAGACTTAGACATAGAAGGTTTGTTAACAGTCAAAGAAAGTTTTGACAGAAGGTTCTCAAACCTTAAAGAAGGCAAAGCATACAAACTTGTTATACCTTATGAACCAAAGAAAGCAGACGACTATGAATATTATGAGTCTAAAGTTGTAGAAGTTCAAGGTAAATTGGGTAAAAAGATTTTAGAGTCTAAGCCGGTGTTTGCTCCTAAAGAGGAAGAGAACATTGACATTGACCCAGAAATGTTCTAAAAATAAAATTTTATTTTTACATGTCATATCTCCCCTTCTCTGGCTCTGGTTCTTTCTTCTCTTCTTCTACTTTCTTTTCTTTCTTTTCTCTCTTCTTCTTCTCTGGTGGAGTTATGTCAAACTTCTCAGAACCATATTTTTGTAAAAGTGCTTTGTCATTTAATAGCTCTTCTATTCTGTTTTCTATTTCATTTTCAAGAACAGCGCATGTGTCTTCTTTACATTCTAAGAAGTTTTGTTGGACTTCATCTCTCCAAGAGGCGTCATCTCTGTCAACAAGTCTGTCATTGACAAATTTTAAGACTTCTCTGCTTAAGGTTTTATGGTTCTTGTCATATTCCCAGAAACAGAACTTTAGAACAAATTCACCTTTCTTGTTTACACTATGTAAGATTTTATGGTCGACAGATGTTTTGCTGTCGAAAAGCTTGTCTCGAATATAGATAGCGAAATCGCTAGACATTTCCTAAAAGATAAAATTTTTAATTTTTCTAAAAATATGTTAGAAAAAAAGTTTGCTGACATTGACAAAAAATTTGAGAATGTTTTAAACAAGAACAAGAGGAAGTTGGAAAATGCTCAGATAAAACCCATACATGACAAGTTCTTATTTGCTCAGAATGGTATAACAGGTCTAATTGCACCACCTGGGTCGGGTAAGACTTTCACTTATCTTAAAATGGCTGCACAACAACAAGAACTAGATGAGAAGAACCCATTCTATGAGTTAGTAGTCATTTGTAGTACTTCTGGTCAATTTGACCAAACCGTCAATTCGTTCAAAGATATTATAAAAAAGTCTAAGTTAGTATGTATAAAAGACTCTGAGTTGTTGGATTGGATAAAGAAGTACCAAAGAAGAGTTTTGAAGTACAATGCTATAAATGAGTATGTCAATTCTAAGTTTAAAGACCCAAATGAGGAAATGCAGAGAATATTAGAGAAGAAACACTTCAGAAACAAACAGAAAGAGATAGAATACATTTCGAAGAAATTGCAATCTTACGATTGGAAGACTTACCCTCACAGATGTCTTCTTATCTTAGATGACTTTGCTTCTCATCCTTTGTTAAAGAACAGAGAACAAGACATGTGTCGAATTCTTAAGAAGCTCAGACACTTTAACATCTCTGTTGTCATTTGTGTACAGACAGCCAAGAGTTTAAGTAAGGATGTAAAGAGAATACTTACTGACATTGTACTTTTCCCCGGATTGTCCGAAGACGATTTCATGGAACTTATGAAAGAGTCCATGGCAGGTAAGTTTGACAGACATGAACTATGGGAGAAGTACAAAGTCATACAAGACCCTCATACTTCTTTCAGAATTCACATCTACGCGAACAAAGTTCAAATTGTAAAAAGTCAAGCGTAAAAATGTAAGTGTTTGAGTCTTAGTCTGTTGTGGTGCTGGGGCTGTCGGTTCTTCTGGCTTTGGAATGGACTCGGTTGGTGGTACGTCAGTCATCCGTTTGTGTCCTGTCGGAAGGAAGGACTTTTCCTGTCGGAAGGAAGGACTTTTCCTGTCGGAAGGAAGGACTTTTCCTGTCGGAAGGAAGGACTTTTCCTGTCGGAAGGAAGGACTTTTCCTGTCGGAAAGAAAAACTTTTCCTGTCGGAAAGAAAAATTTTTCCTGAAGGAAAGAAAAATTTTTCCTGAAGGAAAGAAAAATTTTTCCTGAAGGTCGGCCAAAAAGTTCTCAATTTTCGAAAATTTGAATGGTTTACGGACGGACAACAAGAAAAATTTTTCCTGTTGGAAAGAAAAACTTTTCCTGTCGGAAAGAAAAACTTTTCCTGTCGGAAAGAAAAACTTTTCCTGTCGGAAGGAAGAGTTCTTCCTGTCGGAAAGAAAAACTTTTCCTGTCGGAAAGAAAAACTTTTCCTGTCGGAAGGAAGGACTCGGAATGCCAGAAGGACTCGGACAAGACAATTTACCATCTAGAGCTACCTGAGCCATCTTTGGTGTCAAGCTTGAAAAATAAATGGTTCATTTACTCTTTTTCTTTGAAGTTATCGAAATACTCTGTTATCTTTTCCTTCAGTAGCGGTAAATCTTCTTTGAATGTAAGTATTGTACAACCTTTCATATCATAGTGTGTTTGAGGTAACGTATCTTGAACTATCTGTTTAACATCTTCATTCGGTGTCATTGAAATCGGTAAGTTTTCGCGATAGAACCAATTTCTGTCAGATTTGTAAATCTTAGCTAAGTCGTAAAAGCTTTTGTTGTTTCTTCTGACTAAATGCAACATAACCATATCTCTGTCTTCTTCATTTTCCATCTCTTCAGTGTAAATCATATACTTATAGTTCTTTTCCTTTCCTTTTGGTACCGAACGTGGTATTCTTTTCTGTATGTTTTTGTCTTTGGATTCAATGACTTCATCTTTTGCTTGAAGTTTCTTTTCCATCTCTTCACGTTCTTGTCTGTGAATTTCGTCAAGAAGTCTGTAAATATACCAAGCATAACGAGGCGAAGCCCACATTGCAACAGCATTTACAAGAAGTCTATGTACATACCAACCTCTCAAACCATTTGGCAAATTTTTACGATTTTCATAGAGTTTTGGCGACCCCGAAAAAAGTCGGTCTCGCTGTGCTTCGCTCAAAAGTTCTTGTGTGCTTTGGTTTTTGAACCAATCGTCTGTATGTTTGATATCTGGTGCAAAACATGCTGTCAAAATACTTTGCATTTGGTACATGTCATCTTTGACCGAACGAATGAGACGTAACTGTTTGTTAAACTGAACCCACTCGTATTCTTCACTTATGGCTTCATGAACGATAGCAGTTGTTGTGTTCTCTGTTGTTGACATTTCTGTTCTTACATACAAAATAAAAAAATAAAAAAAAATAAAATTAGCGTTATTTTCTATCTTGTATAAAAGACCAAAAATAAACGCTTTACATGTATTTTTCAGCAACTTCGTCAAATAATTTTATAGCTTTGTCGATCTCATCTACTTCAAACGTTTCTTTACCTTTCGTGGGAGCACCATACAATTTCTCAAACTTTTCAAGTAGTTCTGTTTCAGCAGCTCTCATATCGTTAACAAACGCAACCTTAACTCTATTGACTATACTGTCATATCTTTGAGTTATATTAAATGTTCTTCCTATCTTATATCTCTTTGTATTGAAGTCCTTCGGTTTCTGAACGATGTAAAGTAAGCCCTCACTGCAACGTTCCGTATCGAATGAACCATATGTTATGAAATTATATCCAACAACTGGGTCAATCCAGAACAAAACTACTGGTATAAGACTTTTGTCTATAAGATATGCTCTTGTTCCATAGAATCTTACCGATATCATAAGCTCAGGATTTTTTGTCAAAATTTTCTGAGTAGAAGCATTTTTAACCCAGTCGTGGGATGTTTTCTTTTCAGATAGTGTTAAAATGTCTGACAAAGAATATTTTTTGTATTTCTTTGAGTATCTTACGTTTAAATCACCAATTCTAACCACTTTGGTCTCATTGTCTATCTTTTTAACTGTTTCAAACTCAGTGCTTGTCATTTCCTGTTCTTACATACAAAATAAAAAAATAAAAAAAAATAAAACTAACGCTGTTTTTTTATCTTGTATAAAAGATATGATTTCAGGGATTTTTTTGACGAAGTGCAAAAGTTCTCTTCGTCAAAAAAATACAGTTATATCATGAAATTTGGTCATTTTTTCACGATTTTCATGAGTTTTAGGCGACCCCGAAAAAAACCGGGGTCGCAATTTTTCACGATTTTCATAGAGTTTTAGGCGAGTGGTTTTTTTTTACTACTCGCAATTTTTCACGATTTTCATGAGTTTTAGGCGAGTAAGATTTTTAACGTACTCGCAATTTTTCACGATTTTCATGAGTTTTTTTTACGATTTTCGTACGGAATCTCTATCCTCGATTTTCCTGGGGTAGCAAACATATGAGGAAATTCATGAAATTTGGTCATTTTTTCACGATTTCAGGGATTTTTTTTACGAAGTGCAAAAGTTCTCTTCGTCAAAAAAATACAGTTATATCATGAAATTTGGTCATTTTTTTACGATTTCAGGGATTTTTTTTACGAAGTGTCAAAGTTCACTTCGTCAAAAAATACAGTTATATCATGAAATTTGGTCATTTTTTTCAGCCAAAATATATTTTAGATCTAACCAGGTCCCTCGGTCCCTCGGTCAAATGAACTTCTCTGAAAAAGTGTGACAACATGACATTTTGACAACAACACAGGAAATAGACTTCATCGTCAATGAGTGTAAATCAGGCAAAAATATATTTTAGGTGCTACCTCTTTTTCACAAGCGTTTTACATGGTATATGTTGTGATGGTTCATGACTTTAAACAGTTTTGTAGCTTCTATTTCTTCACGAAGGATATCAAAAGTTTTAACGATACCGAAAGTTTCTTTATATTTCTTCTTGACATCAGATAGAAGGAAATCGTTAGCAGTTGGATAGTTTTTGTTCAGAAATGTCAACATGTCCATTTTATCTTCTGCTGGTTTCTCTGCTTCTTTCTTTAAGTCAGTATAGTCTTTTCGCATACGTTCTATCTCTTTGACGGAGTAGTTATATTTCTTCATTGCTGCTTTACATTTTGAACATTGTGGGTTCATTTTTGCATTATATTCTGAAACCTTACCTGCTAAAACAAGTAAGGCGTAGATGGTTTTCTTTAACTCAAAGGCTGCTGGTTTTATTTGTCCGTTCTATACTTTACCTCTTCTATCTTTATCTCTTATCTGCCATACACATTTTGCAACTAACGAAACAAAGTTGTCGTAGGTCTTAAACTCTTCAGATTTGTATATGTCAATGAAATATACCATATCGCAGTCTTTGTGGTTGCAATGAAATCCAAGAAACTCATAGTTTACCTTACGTATGAACTTCTTGGTTTCTACTGAGTCAGTTGGTTTCACTTCTATTTCATCGAATTCAGGAATAGTAAGCTTTTGTTGTTGTATTTCAGGAATTTTAGGTAGATGTTCCACCAGGTCCTGCATTTCATAAAGATACTGTTCATTTGTTTCATCCTTTGCAGTGCAATCTAAATCTCCTTGGAGAAGTTCTTGCTTTATCTTCTGGATTTCTGTTTCGAAAGTATATGAAGAAGGAATGAAGCTTTTCATCTCTACTAACATAGATGTTGGGTTCATGACTAACGAGTTTGGTGCTGTTGTTGCTGACATGTTCTTACAATAAAAATAAAAAAATATTTTTTTTAAAAAAAACTAAAATATATTTTTGCCGAATTCAAGAGTTTTGTGTGTTTTCTACGGTGGGGCCAAAAAGTGGCTCGACCTCAAAACAAGCATTTCGTGAAGAATATACCACCCGCCGGAATTCCGGCAGGTGCTTTTTTTATACAAAACATATACGAAGAAGTCTCAACAAAACAAGCATTTTGTGAAGAATATACCAACCGCCGGAATTCCGGCGGTTGCTTTTTTATACAAAATTCAACGGGTGAAAGAATACGATGAAGAAGTCTTGACAAAACATTGACGATGAAATTCATGAGAAATTAGATGATGAAATCTATTTCCTGTGTTGTTGTCAAAATGTCATGTTGTCACACTTTTTCAGAGAAGTTTAAATTACCTGGTGACGTAGTGACACCTAAAAACCATCTAACCTAAAATATATTTTTGCCGAATTCAATAAAAATAAAATGGTTCATTTACTCACAATATTTTTGTACAAAAGGACCCCAACCTTTTAACCTCTCTTCTGCAGCTTCTAATGAAACTTTAGCGAGTTCATATTCTCTAAATTCTCTCTTTAAATCTTCTTGTTCCCATTGGTCTAGTTCGTATGGAGAGTCTCTATAACCAGAACATATCTCACGTTCATGTTCTATTTGTTTTTCATGCATTTTTCTAACTTCTTGTTCGAACAAAGGTTTTGCATTCTCTACTGTATCTTCAAGTTCTTCTTCATCTAATTTCTCATGAACTTTCTTGTCTATGGAGTCCAGAATTTTTCCAACTGCTATGCAATATTTTGGAGAAGCCCACATTGCTATATAGTTTACAAGTCTTGGGTCTACATACGTTCCTCTAACCTGTTTGATTTCATCGGGAATTCCTGCATGAACTGTGTATAAAAAGCAACCGCCGGAATTCCGGCGGTTGGTATATTCTTCACAAAATGCCTTAAAATACTCTTCCCAGGACTTATTTTCCAACAACTTTCTAAAGTCTTTCCTAAACTGTTGACACATATTTGTTGCATTTATATAACCATCCTTGTCTCTACGTAAGACTTCAATACCGTTGTAAGTGCCTTTTGTGAATGTTTCGCCATTAGATTTGTTCGTGAACGTTTTTGCTTCGACTGTCATACTGTTCTTACAATAAAAATAAAAAAATATTTTTGGCTTAACCGTCGGACATTCGTTTGTGGCTTAACCGTCGGACATTCGTTTGTGGCTTAACCGTCGGACATTCGTTTGTGGCTCGACCTCAAAACAAGCATTTTGTGAAGAATATACCACCCGCCGGAATTCCGGCGGTTGCTTTTTATACAAAACATTTACGATGAAGAAGTCATGACAAAACATGTACGATGAAAGTCTTGACAAAACATATACGATGAAAGTCTTGACAAAACATATACGATGAAAGTCTTGACAAAACATGTACGATGAAAGTCTTGACAAAACATGTACGATGAAAGTCTTAACAAAACATATACGAAGAAGTCTCAACAAAACAAGCATTTTGTGAAGAATATACCAACCGCCGGAATTCCGGCGGTTGCTTTTTTATACAAAATTCAACGGGTGAAAGAATACGATGAAGAAGTCTTGACAAAACATTTACGATGAAATTCATGACAAAACATTGACGATGAAGTTTATTTCCTGTGTTGTTGTCTAAATGTCATGTTGTCACCATTTTCAAAAAGATGTTAGTTGACCGAGGGACCGAGGGACCGAGGGACCTCTTCACCTAAAATATATTTTTCAATACTTTTTCAGCACTTTTCCGTAGTTGTATATGAAAGACAATTCGAGATAAAAGTCGTAGTACAATGGAATAATATGCTGCACACCGTTTGTTGTGAACCAGACTTGAAAGTCAGAGAAACTGTTACTAGGTGGTTCGTAGAATTTAGAAGCAAAGTCATAGAAGTCCTTACCGATACATAGAAAACTGTTGTTGCTTGAACTGAAACTTGCATGACACATGACATTTTGAGGGTCGAACACGTTTCTATAAACTGTCAAATCTGTTGGTGGGAGTATAAATTTAAACGGACCGTCAGGTGGCAATGGTTCGTTCTGGTTTAGTAACCGAAGAAATTGTGCCCAAGAACGTTTGTCCACCCCCCAATATAAAAACTCTGTATCTCTTGGAGGGTTAATTTCAATCTTTTGAAATGAAACTGTGGAGTTCATCTTGTCGTATTCTAGTTTTAGATAGTATGTTCCATTTAGTAAAGAGTGGTATTTTTCTTGAAATTCCCAGTAGTATTTGTTCATTTGAGTTTGAAAGTCATTTAGAGTTTTTTCAAGACTTTCGTCTGAACGAATTGTAAAGATTTTCATTTCATCAAATTTTTCTATTAGACCATCAGAACCTTTATACTGACCGTGAAAATATACTGCGAACATGAATGCATTAGTTCTATTTGAAAACAAAACTCTTCTAAATCCTATTGCCTTTGCATCTGAAGGACTTTGAAGCCAGCGAATTGGATAGTCAAACCTGTATGTTTGGGATGAAATTTCTTCATCTGAAATAGTCCTGCCAGCGTTTGTAAAGATATAGTCTAACGGTTTTGTATCTGCTACTTTTGTTCTTTGTTTTTCAACCTGAAGCATTTTATATATGTAAAAATATACTGTTTTAAAAATGTTTTAAAATGGTATGCAATGTTTTATTTCATGCAATGTTTTATTTCTGTGCCGTCTTCTTTAACACCCCAATATTTCCTTTTCGATATTACATGAACTTCGGAAAATACCTTGTCTAGCTTAAAAAGGCCCATCTTTTCACCGACTAAACCCATTTCAATGAGTTTGTTATACCCTTCCTCGTTCGTCATGAGTGCATCGATGTTCTCATAGTATACCTTCACTTTCGATTTAACATCGGAGAAAAATTTGTTGTAGTTGTCGAGGACTGCCTTTGCGAACTGAGGATAAGACCAATGTTCGACAATAGGTTTTACTGTGGTTACTGAGCCACCTTGACCTTCGGTGAACTCGTATTTCAAAACAAAAGGGGAGAACCTTTCAACAAAGTTGTCGACCTTCTCATAGTGTTTACTCTTCATCTTTTGAGGTTTCTTAATGGAATACCCCCATGTCGAATTCATAAGCAATTTGATTGTCATTGCAAGTTTGGGGTTTGAAGCTTTCCTAATATCATACAGTTGTTGTATGACTTTTCCAACTGTATAGTTCTTTCCCGGGAACTCACCATCTTCGTTTGGAATTCCAGTCGGGATATATTGGACGAACCTCATGTACGCAGCGTTAAGGTCGACATAGTATATTTTTTCATATGAGTCGAACTTGTCGCATCCAATCGGCCCAGTTCGTGGAAATTCAAGTGAGTCTCTTATCTTCTGAGAAACCTCGCCTGTTATCTCATAGACATCGTCAAAGCAACCTGTTTCATATAAAATTTTCTGACCTAACTCTGATGCTCTCCAATACAATTTGACGTCGATTGGATGTCTCAATGGAAGTTTGTTTATAGCATCTTGAAGTTCTTGCAACCTCATTGGAAGTTCTTCTGGTTCAGGTTGGTATCCGAACAATCCAACTCCTTTTGGAGCTGTGTACTTCTTTTGTGCTATAACCTTGTCCGGAACAACTTTTGGTCTTACCAACAATAAAAAGTTTGTTTCGTCTTTTGGTACAAAAGTTTCTGTCAGCTTGTCATCTGGAATTGGTTCCAACAAGCCTTTCTCGAAAAGAATGTTAACAGCTCTGACAATGTTGCATTTGCCTTTTCCGAACAATGGGTGTGTAAGACTTTCGTTCAACATGAAGTGGTTGTGGACAAGTACAATCTTCAACCATGGCAATTTGAAGTCAACTACATAGTCATCGTGCGAAGAACCTTTCTCAGTCGGAATGTTGACTCGGATATTGACATTTGCCAACGGTGCAACTTTTGACAATTGCCCTCTGAGAATGTACCTTGTTTTCACACATGACTCAAGATACTTCATTTTCTCATCTGTAACAAGACCAGAGTTCCTGAGACATGTAAGAATACAAGGTTCATTGACAATTTTTTCAATTGAATTGTAAATTCCATACCTGGTTAAGTCAATGTCAGACTTATTTCTGAACGGGAAATACCCAGCATGTTGTCTGACTGCTTGAGGGTTGGGTTGGTACCATTCAAACTTCACGCTTGCAATTCCTTCAATCGCATTCAAAATATCTGAGTCGGAGTCAAACATTTGTTCTCTCTTTGTAGTCTTGAAAGCGTCAAGAAGTTGTGCGGCTGTTGTGACATTGCCATGCATAGTATATATGACCATCCAAATCTGTTACGGTTAGTCTGAGATTGTATCCTTTCTTATTTCCGTCTTGTATGGCAGCAAGTACTCCCATGAAGCCTTCTTTGTTCTTTCCTTCGTCAAAATTTACTGTAAAGGTTCGACCAGAAGTAATTTGACTTCTAACTTCGCGATACTTTTCATACGCATATCTTGTTCTTTCCATGGGAGCATGTGCGTCTTCACCTTTTCCTTTTTTCCTTCTCAAAGGATGCAATTGTTCGTCATGTTTCCAGTAGAATCTGGCAAAGCCGTCGTGTCCTTCAACCTGTGGCTCAGTAACATCGAAAGGCATGTCCATAAGACGCTCTTCTTCTAACCTCTCAAGTCTGTTTGGATAATTTGCGCGTGCTGTTTCTAAGTCCATTTCGTAGCGAAGACCAGACAATTTGTCATAGACTTTTATTGGCTTTCCCTTCCTATATTTAAACTTCTTTGAAACTCTCCAACCATATCTTTCTAACTCTGCTTTTATTCTAGCAGACCTTCTATCCATTCTATACGGGGGCATTTTTATAAAAATAAAAAAATGTTTTTTCTTTACTTTACGTAACCACCCGCTGCCAAAAGTCTTTGACGCCAACCCATACCAGCTAATGAAGGTTGGCTTGGTTTAGTATTGAAACTAACCTTTGGTTTTGGTTTATCTTCAGTTTTTGGCTTC